CGGGGAGGGGTGATCCTAGGAGGGAGGAAGCCTTTGGATATGTAAAAATTGGTCAGAGCAGAGGAGACTTTGGGTGGAAGGGGTGTGAGGGCATCATGCTATTCAGTGATGGCATTGCAGTGGTCAATGATGAGGTGTAAAGGTATGGAGAAAAAGTTTGGAGCAAGGGTTGGTGGAAAGGAGATCTCCGAGAACAAGGTTGGTTTGGGGTAAAGGCATTGGAGGTCGGGTGGCTATGGGAATTGGAAGAGGAAGAAGCATGTGGATGTAGGCAGGTTGCTGGGTTTCATGGGGGGCTGCAGACGTGGATAGTTGTGGTGAGGTCGGAGGGGTATTCGGTTCTTTAGTAGTCTGGATTGTTGGAGTGGGGTGATTGCATATAAGGAGGTCGGGGATAGTAGTTTTGTGGGAGGGGAGTAGGGTGATGTTGGTGGGTTTGATAAGGGGGTATAGTGTTGGTTTTTCTTAGTGGAGGGAGGTGCATTGCGACGGATAAATGATTGTATGTTGGGATGTGTGATGTGGTGGATGGGACATAGCAGGAAGGCAGAAGGGCTTGGGAATGGAGAAGAGTGCGATGAAGGGGCCAAGCGAAGGGGAGATGGAGAGGAGGGTGAGAGAGTTAAGCATAAGGGTAGAGTGGCTAAAGGTGATGGAGGTGGGGGAAAGTGGTTGGCAGCTGTAGTGATGGGGTTGGCATGACCAAGCATAGGACTGAAGTGACAATAAGGGATGAGATGGGTAGATGTGATGAGTTGGCAGTTGGGGGAAGGGGTTGGTATTTGGGGGTAGGAGAGTGCAACGACATCAAAAAAAAAGATGAGAGGCCTTTCTACCCAAAAATGAGGAGCACCCAGTCTAACGCAACCTTATATCAATAATCATGTTACTTAGAATACAATATGGTCAAACTTCAGTCAAATCTACTTGAAAATCCCATTCCAATATTCCAAATTTTAATACGAGGTGCCATAAGGCCATCCCCCAAATTTCACCTCAAACCGACTTTGAATGATAAAGATATGGATCTGGCAAAGTCAGGAACCCAGACGAGATGCCCTAAAATGGCCCTACAATTACAAAGCAATCCTATGGTCAAAGGCAGAAGGTAGGTAAGTGGGCAGATGGCTGGGAGCCACATCAGGAGAGAAAGACGAAGGTAAGGTGGAGGCTGAGGTTTGGAAAACCTGAAAAAGGCAGGAAAGGTAGAAGGGGGAACCTGGTAAAGAGGGGTCGGAGTTTGCGAGGGGTAAAAGATTGGACTAAGGGAGAGAGCATACCTTGGGTGGAAAGAAGAAGGGTGGTCGGTCAGAAAGTGGTGAGGTTGAGGAGATTTGAATAATGGGTAAGACCAGGATGGTGAGGGATCATCAAGAGTTTGTGGATAAGGGAAGTGGAAGGTTCTGACACGGCAAACGTGAACCATGTGAGGGGTGAAAGGAAAGTAAGTGGCTAGAAGGGCAGATATGAGGGCTGGATTAGGAAGAGCGGGGTCCGTGGTATGGACAACAACGATGCCAAAAGGGAACTGAGACCACTTCATGGGATTATCGGAGGTGGTATAAAAGGCACCATCCTGCTGACCTCGTGCTCAGGCGCCACCCCTTTTCCGTCCTACTTGAGGCCCCAAGGCGGAGTTGGTGCTAGTTCTCCTATGGCTCTACCTGTGCCACTTGGCTCCCCTCCACACCACCACGAAAAAGGTGTCTTAGTTGACCATGAACCCCCCCCCCCCCTCCCCCCCTTGCCTCAGTAGTCAGGCCTTTCGGCCGGGCCTGACCCACCGTCTCATAGGGCTAGCCCATTAATTCCAGCTTCTTTCTCCTGCCTTCAAAACCTTCCTTGAAGGCTCATATCCCTAGAGACCCTGATTTTCATTTTTGAAATATATTTGTGACATTTATTTTGTTTCTACTTTTATTTTTCAATTTTTGGTCTGGAAAATGCTCAAAAAAATACAAACTTCACGAAATAGGAAAGAAAAAAAGAAATAAAAAATAAAAACGAGCACTTTCTGTTTTTTGAATTTTTCTATTTTTCTATTTTATGTTTTTCTTTATTTTTCCCTATTTTCTCCATATCTGATTGGTGAACCGGTCCAGTTCGGTTTGTCCAACCGAACCGGTTCCTTCATCGATCTGGTCTTGGCAACATTGGTCTATAAAAGCCCTCTTAACCCTTTTTTTTAATGGTTGGACAATTGAGATTAAGAGCCAACCTAAGCGAGAGAAAGTATCCTGTAAATTATCCTTATGCCTCTCCCATACCACCCAATTTTCCCCCACATCTTTTCAAAATTCCCAAAATACCCTTCAAATCCCAAAAGAACTCAAAACTTCCCAAGAAGTTCTCACTCGTAGAAATTTTGTTCTATGCTTTAGAATGCATCCGTGGATGTTGAGGACTTGGGTTATGGGTTGGAACGGAAATGGTAGTGAAGGATTTGTTTGGGAGTGGGTTTCTACTGTGGTGGGAAAAGTGGAGTTTTGAAGAGCCTGAGCTTAGGATGTCTTAGGGAGCGGTTTTTGTAAGTAGTTGTTTGGGTTTGGCTGGCAGGTTTAGAAGCTATAAGAGCGGTGGAAATTTAAGTGTTTGGTTTGGATGGCGATTTTCTTTGTGAGTTAGGAGCGTGGTTGAAGGGATAGATCTGGTTGTGGTAGTAGCAGTATAAAGGCGGTGGGTTGGTAGTAAATACTTGTTTGGGTCTTCTTGTTGGGGGTTTGTTGGAGGCCATTGTTGGGGGGAGCAATGAAGGCCAGAAGAAGATAGCGAAGAAAATACGAGGTATGTAGAGAAAGATCCCCTCTCCAGAGGAGAGAAGACAAGAGAATAGGAGGAAGAGGGGATCTACTATGTGAAGTGTATGATAGCCATACAAGCAGCGGTGGGAGGAGGAGGAGCCCCACTCATCTTTTTCAGCTCTGTCTGTATATTCTTGTTCCTAGCGATATCTTGCATCAGCCTTATCATTGAAATGGAAAATTTGGGTTGCTTTCTCTTTTCTAAAACAAATTCCCTGGTTATTTCTTGGCAATGCATGAAGGAAAGTCATCTTCTACCTTTCTCTCACCTGCACTTCTGTGGTCATTTCTTATGGGCTTCATTTGTTTCATTGAATTGAAGGTGTGAGCTCGTGTGTTTCTTCTAAGTAGAAACTGACTTCATTCAATAAAAGAGGATATCTGAATATACTTAAAGGGGATCACTGTTTCCTTAGGGATTCCAATGACAAAGGTCTCAGCTTTTGACTCCTTTTGCATGCAAAACATGCACTAGGTCTTGTGTGGACTCATTTTGAAGTATTTGTAGAATGGCATGGTTGTTGGTCAAACTTTCTCAATTGTACAAGTTTCCCATCTCAGGAGTTCCAGTACAATTCCAATTTGGGAGGCAAAATCTGAGCACTTGATTTAGAGTCTATTATAGAGATGGTTATAAGATTCCAAAGAAATTGGAGCAAGTTTGTTGTTTAGGAAGGTCTAGTGTGTCATGTTTATGCTATTCTACATTTAGGTGTACAAAGAGTTGTTATGCTATGCAACTGGTAATAAGAAACCCCTTCTCCAAATCAAACTGAGAGGTGAACACAAAAAAACAACATAATGCTCTCAAAAAAGATTAGCTCTCTCTTTTTCTCTATGTGCGTGTTCTTGATTTCTTAGGTTTATCTTTGAATATATACACTTCTAAACTCATTACACTAGTACTTGCAGCATATTCCATGTTAAACCATTATTGATTGATGGAGATTTGGTTTTATTACATTTTATTGCAACATGCCTTATCCGTATAATGCCTAGATATGATTCTTCACACGTTTATGTTCTGTATCTAATATATTTCTAATGGATTCTGCCAAAATTTAGAATCATTGTACTTTTCCTCGCACATTCTTTGAATATGCTACTTTTCTATGTTCAGTTAAACACCGGTGTTGGCGAACCAAAGAGTTCAAATATTAGTGAGAGAGGCTTTTTGTCAAGAGAAAGTGAGTAATTATGTTAATCTTTCTGTCTTTTGTTTCATAATGGATCTTACAGTTTAACTACGCATGAGTAGTCACTCTAAAGTTTCTAATGTTTTGCTTTTTTATTTGGTAAATTATAATACAGAATGTAGACAATGAGATCATTTACTTTTGATACAAGGTCACAATCATCATTGACCATTAGATTTGAAATCATGTGGTTGAGGATGTGTCATTGTTTGGACACAAAGTCCAAAATAAAATTTCTCAAATGTTGTGACACATTTTCATCTATTGAATTTCACATCCGATGGTTAAAAGTGATTGTGACCTCTTTGTACAAAAAATAAATGGTCTCATAGTATACAATCCCTTACAATACATTGCACTTAATTTGGACTATGAGCTATTTTTTGCAAAGATTAGATGTTCAACTACTAGGCTATCATGAGTCACCAATTGTGATAAAAGTTGTACCTTTTTGCTTTTCTTAGTTAATAAATGCTTTCTTTATGTTAGATGTTATCATCAGAGGACATTTATATAGTGCCATTGTGATTATGGAATGCAAATTTTACTTTGCTCTATGTACTTAATATCATTATTCACTTTGAGGCATTTGGTTTATGGGCTTCGTCAGTCGTTCTTTATATATAGAGCAATGATCCAATGCAACGGTTGTATT